CAGTGGCTTAAACGGTGAATACACTTATGTCATTGTAAATTTTTAGTTTATAACGATTTCCGTTAATCAGAATTTCCAAACGTATGGGCTAGAGTTTTGAAAAATCTCAATGATTGGCAGAAAAACCAAGATAAACAAAAGACTCAAGCCAAGTGGTATAGTGCTGAGAAAATGCTTTACAATAATGTAAAGTTTATGGAGGTGGGTTGGGGTTGGCGAACCCCATCCCGCAAAAGGGTAACTCGCTAAAAAAAGCGCTAACAAGTGAAAATATTTCACACCATTTAAACTCTGGTCTGCGAGCTAGAAGGTCTTCATTTAGGAGAGCTATGACGTCTCATGATGGAAGCCGAGTTCTCTCGAAAGTCGCGAGGCCGATGCCCTTTGTGACAACCAGAACACTTCCACAGTGTGGGCAGCCGGGAAGTAACATCCACTCTCAAACCCATAAAAGAACACTAGACTAAATTGGTCAAAATCAAATCCTTTCTACACCTTTTAACTCTCTTATCTCCTTGACCGACCCTTCTTTCGATCGCTTGTCACATCACGCCGCTGAAGCAAACAGTATAAGCTCACAAAACATTATTCCTGGTCCCCTGAAACCCGTTACTAAATGACATATTGGAACTTTAATTGTTCGAACCTTGTGCAAATAGAACAACTGGCTTCATTAGTCAGATCTCTGAAATCCCGTGCGACCGATGTATGCTGCGTCTCGGAAACGCGCATACAGGATCCGAGTTGCGTCACTCATTTGATCTCACCGTGTCAAAACAAACAACCAACTCGATTTACTCTTCGTGTATCTGGAATCACTGCTGTTGCTTCCAGTGGCCTCGCCGTCGTAGGTATAGTATGAAGTCCTAGGGTAGGACTAGCTCTCTTATACTGGATCTCCATAGACAGTCGCTTATTCGCTGTCCGACTAGACGGGACGGTACGGGCTTGGAAGGATAGGGACACTCGCCGTTGCCTCTTCGTCGTATCTGCCCACGCTCCCATTGACTGCAGTTCAGACGAAATGAAAGATAATTTCTATAGATCAGACGAGGTAAAAGATGAGTTCTACAAGAAGCTCTCGGACCTCTTCCAAAAGGTTAGGCGCTCTGACTTCAATACTCAAGTAGGTAGACATCTAGGTGGATCCTATGGAGTCGCGGCTAATAGAACAGATAATGGCGACCGTCTTCTGCAGATATGCTCAGATAAACGCCTATTTTTAACAAACAAACTTTAGGCATAAGGAGAAACATCTCTTGACCTGGCGACCCCCAAAGCCGGCACAACGATGAACCCAACTAGATCACATCTCTATAAGCCATCGGTGGAGAGGCTCTATTGAAGACTGCCACTTATTCTGGAGCACTTGTTTAGACTCAGACCATGCTTTAGTGTGAGCGCGTATTTGTTTGCGTCTTACTGGACGCAAGAAAAATATCGCAAGGAAACCTCTTAGGGCTCTACTTAATGATAATAAAGATAGAAATATATTTCAGGAACAACTAGAAAAACAGTTATGCAGCCATGCAGTAAGTGATGCCCACCCTGAGGCAGCTTGGAATGAAATCAGAAAAGCTGTTAAAACAGCAGTGATATCTGCTAGCAAGGTAAACCACAAGGTTAGAGAGAGGCCGTCATCATCAACAGCAACGTAGAACTTTGCACGTAAGTACAGCAGTTCAAGTTGCCATACCACATTAGCACAGATATAATTGTCAATTCAAATCCCATAGTAGTAGAGGTTGTAAAAGTATTAGAAGTAATCGGAGAGATTAGGGTTCGAAGATGTTATTCAAGAAGTGTAATTAAGTAAGGTAAATTTAGAAAGAGAAAGGTAGAGGTTATGATGAATTCAGAAGGTTAGAATTTCATAGAACACAAAGAGTAAATGCACCTGCGCCATTGCAAACGGTTTTGAACCATGTCACTCAGGGTCTCTAATCACCGATCATTATCATCTCACAGACCCCAACCCGGTAGTCGACACCTACCGACATGACTCAGTCCATTTGTCAGTGACTTCATGGATTTCTGCCGCGTTTTCGTTTGGCCGCCCCTAGCCTGCGCCCAACCTATTCCTATACCGCAAAACATAGCTCGACGAGGCAGTCGGTGTTTGGGCATACGAAACACATGTCCTAACCACCTCAGATGATGAAGTTTCATTGCTGGCGTGGGTATAGTGTTAAATCCTAGGGCAGAACTAGATCTCTTGGACTGGATCTTGATAGACAGTCAATTATATGCTGTCCGACTAAATGAAACGTAAGGATAGAGAAGCTCACCGTTGCGTCTTCATCGTATTGTTAGACTCGATAATACTTAGACGACTAACCAGAGCTCGTGAAGGGCAGAATCGAGAAAACCAGGTTGGATTCACACCTCGACGTGACTTTATAGACCACATCTTCACACCACGACAGGTGCTAGAACACAGACGCATATTCGGGCGTCCCACTATAGCTGTCTTTCTGGACCTTAAAGCGGCGTTTGACCCCGTTAATCGTGAGGTTCTGTGGCCACTATCTGTCATGAATGGTTTACCAGAGAAGTACATCAACCTTATACAACTCTCCACTTAAATACTACAGGTCGAGTCAAAGCTTATGGCGATCTGTCATCGGAATTGGTTAATTCATGTTGTGTCCGTCAGGGCTGTCCACTCTCACAATTCCTGTTTAATTTTGTCATAGACATGCCTCTGGGCATAACATTATCTTCGTCTGAATTTTCAGGAGTGAACTTTCTACTAGTAGTCTTGCTTGTCGAATTAGAACATGGTGATGAAAGAATCCCACTTGGTAAAGATACTGACCAAATGCAGAATCTTCTTACTACGCTGATCAACAATGCCAACATGTTCAGGATGCGATCTTCTCCGTTGAAATGCAAAATGTTGCTCCAGTATTAGCTTATATCGGCACCTGAACTAGTGGTAGGGAGTTTTGTTGAGCGTGTTGACCGCTTCGCTTTTCTTGGGAGCCTGATCAGTGCTGACAGCCTGGTGACTGACGAAATCTCAGCACGGATTGAAAAAGTTCGATTTGCTTTCGCCAACTTGCGTAACTTATGGCGTAGCAGAGATATCCGTTTGCTAACCAAAGGACGAGTATACTGCACGGCAGTCCGCTCCGTCCTGTTTAACAGGTTTGAATATAATCGTAGGTTATTTCTTCTTGATCTTCGGTGTCTTCGAAGTATTACTAGTTTATCCTGGGACTATGTAGTAAGTAATGCTGTTGTTAGGAAACGGGTTCTAGGTAAAAATGACAGGTCAATAGACGAAGTATTGGAACTTCATCAGTTGATTTAGTTGGGACATGTGTTGCGTATACCTAAACACCGACTGCCTTGACGCGCTATGTTTTGTAGTGTAGGAATAGGTTGGAAGAAAGCTAGGGCTGGCTAAACCAAAACATGGCAGAAATGCATGAAGTCACGGACAAGTGGACTGAACAATGTTTCTAGGTGTTGATTACTGGTTGGGTTCCGCGAAACGAAAGTAGCCGATGGGTTAAGACCTTGAACGACATGTCTCAAAATCGTTTTCAGTGACGCAGGTGCATTCATCCTTTTTGTTCTATCAAATCCTAAACTTCTTAATCCCCCATCACCTTTTTCTTTTCAAAATTTATTTCACTAGAACCTAGTTCTTAAATATTATCTTTGATTACTGCTAATACTTTTACTACCTCTAGTACTATGGGATTTGAAGTATCAATTGCTTCTCTGTGCTAATGTGGTATGGCAACTTGAAATGATGTACGTTCGAATTTCCGCCCTGTGCGGAAAATAAATAATACACAATACACATATGAACTACCTAATAGTTTTAAAGTAGTTTGAAATTTGAAGGAGAACTGATTTGTATTTTGTTTTAAACGGTTTATTGGTGTTGTTGAGGGAGACAAACTTTTCTATAAAAACAATCTCTCGAATTTTGTTCACAAGTAGTGAATTTCGAATGTAAGATAACATTATACACTAGCTTGATATAGTTAGTTGTAGATGGTTTTTTCCCCAATCTCCATTGAAAGATCTATTTAAGGGTCTTTATTGGTAGTGATATGAGTATACCACAAGTCACTTGTTTGCACTATCACTACGGCTCTAGCCAGGGAGTAGTGATAGGCCGAAATATCTTTAGACGTTACTGAGTGTACTTTCACTGTTCCTTGATATAAACTGACTACTTTTTCAATGCTATAGTTTTTTATTGCGTTATAACTCCGCATATATATATATATATATATATATATATATATATATATATATATATATATATATATATATATATATTCGTCTCAGTCCAGCAGTTGGGTTAGACTGGGTTGACAAGTCTTAAGATGTCTACTCAACATTGACATCCATGACATTCAGAAAATAAATCTGGACGTAGCTGCTACATTGACGTGGCGGTTCGGCTTGCCTATCATAATGACCCAACCGAGCTTTATTGGCTGGGACATATAATCCTCTATGTTATGCCATACCAGGCACGTCTATTGAGATTCAAAGCCGCAACTCATGGTCTGAGGGCGAAGTCATACCGCTGACTGTAGAGGCGTATGTCCACATTAAGGTGTTTACCTCGGACAACCAGCACCGCTATTGCTAACGGATCGAATACACGGAATTTTATTCCTGGTCTCCTGAAACCCCCTCTATATAAAATGTTGGGGCTTTAAATGTTTGGGTCTTACACCAAGCAGGATAACAAGCTTCCTTATCTAGGACTTTAGAACCTCGTGACATTGATGTATGGTGCGTCTCCGAAACGTGAATACAGGGTCCAAGTAGAGTGAATAATTTGACCTAATATTGTCAACATAAAAGACCGTCTCGATTCCAGGACCTGTCGTAGTGTGGAAATTATGTCTGTAGATCCACGTCCAGGTCTGAAACCAGCCTAGTTTTCTCGAGTCTGCTTTATGATATGATCCTAATCTTCGAAAGTACATTGCTCTTATTTTTTAGCTCTGTGTTAAACACTGACAATGAATCCAAGCCTCATAAAAGAGAGAGAAGCGTTCTTAAAGCGAGCCATGACGATCCCTGTTGTCGAGAAACCAAAATCGACTTATTCTGGTGTTTCGGAAGAAAAAGGTGCCGTAACTTCTGTACACCGCCGTGGACCTCCTTCAACTTCTAGTGTTTCAGAATTGAGATCTCTCGAACTAAAACCTCAGTTGCAGGGAAAGTTTGCAGTTTTGTCGCGGATAGTAAAGTATATGAAGGTTTGCCACCTACCGTATACCACAGCTTTTTATAGCAACGCCATTTAGAAGGTGATACTCATCCATTATCTGTAGAAGAAATTTTGGAGGAAGCTGTACTTCATGATACACCACCTGCCACTGTAAAATGGCTAGAGGAAGAAGTAATATGACTGATGATAATGTCTTTATAGTAGGCTCTACCAAATAATCCAAAAATTCGGGTTACAGCGGATGCAAAGTTTTTATTCAAACCAAGATATGATATCCGTACTCGTAAAGACCTTTATCAACTTCTTCGTCGTCAAGAATTAAAAGGATTGGGAGGAATTTATCTAGATGATTTGACTGAATCCGTTCCTGATGTTGAAAAAATTCTCAATGTAGGCAAGTCATTTTTTTTTCCAAAATTTAGCTTGTATTTTAGTAGATGATATATATGTGGGTTATGTAATTATCATTTCATACTCTGTATATTATTTTTTTGAAATTTCTAGTCTGTTCTACCGATTGATGTGTTTATGTGGACAGAGTTCGAGAAGAATCAGGTGAACTCTCAGTTCTAGACATTATATACGATCTTGGTATTTTACTTTATCTCATTTGTTACACCGACAAGAAATCTACCTACTTCTCTAATATTCCAGATGCTTAGTACACTTGTGTATTCGTTTATGGTCCGATATTGTTACATCTGATTTTAGTCAAGGAGATCAAGTTATTAGGTTATTGTTCTGTCTAATTTTAGGTAGTCGTTCGTCTCTGATAAAAACATTGTGTTGATAACGCAAATTTGAGTGAAATTAACTGAATCTGTTTCACCGTATAGGATGGTCTGAATTTGCAACTCAATTTGTGTAGATTGGTTTTTGAGACGGATTTAATTTTTGTCTGTACAACATTAGAAACTTATATGTATTGCATAAAGTTAACTCGTTCACTTTCAAGGTAATTCGAAATTAAATATTACATCATTTTTTTAGAGTTTTGGCGATCATGTGATTCGTATTACCACACCACACGATAAAAAAACTATCTTGTTTTACAACGACAAATCATTCGATTTGAATGTAGATGAAGGTAAGTGTCATTGTACAAATTAGGTATTACCAGTAGCTTCCATTTTTCTTATGTTTGGTTTTAAATCACTTAATAAACTCAGTCAGTTACAACATAGCACTTCGTACGTACGTACATAAGTTTAAGTTGCCACACCACATTAGCACAGAGCCGCAATTGTCATTTCAAATCCCATGGTGGTAGAGATAGTAGAAGTATTCTGGTCATGGAGAAGATTAGGATTTGAAGATATTATTCAAGCAGTATAATTCAGTCAGATAAATTTAGAAAGAGGAAGGGGATGAGGAATTCAGAAGATTAGGATTTGAGAGGACACAAAAAATGGATGTATCTGCGTCATTTCAAACGATTTTGTGTCATGTCATTCAAAGTTTCTAACCATCAGCTACTGTTGTCTCGCTAACCCCAATAAGATAGTCTACGTCTACTAACAGGACTCAGTTTAGTTGTCAGTAGCTTCATGAAACCTGATAAACTACTTACTCTAGCACCTCACCTGCACTTGAGAATGTATACATTTAATTTAGCTAAGCCCTTCAGTCATCTTGTTTAACAGAGAGCGTCACTCGGTTAACAGCTATGTATTCATGTCTTTTATCATCGTTTTCTATGTGTTTGGTAAAGTATTACAGCTTACACATATATTCCTCTTGTTAGCAAAATGTCAGTTGAGTAAATCATTCGATGTTTTGTTCGCTTTCGCATTCATATATATATATATATCAGAACGCTTGATATACGACGCATGGGAATCATCTCGCAGATAATCCACTACATTACCATTATTTCAAGTAATTAACGTATATAAAAGTTAGGGATGTTTTTCTTCACCTATTCTAGTTTTTAATTATTGTTTTTCCTAGTTTTCTAAGAATCTAAAATGTTTTTGCGACGCTTTATTGTATACTAAAACCCTCTGAATGAATGCGGACTGCGAAAAACAACTGATCAAAACAAAACGAATGAAGTCAATGCTAAACAGAAGTAATAAAAATGTAGGAAAAAAATAAGCAGGTTCCAAATAGAAGTCTAATTCAGTGATACCTATCTTAAACATATTCTGTCACTGAGACTTACTGACTAATGTTTGATATTTTGTAATTCAGTTTAACGAAACTGTTAGCCGATTTATTTCTATTATATAAAAACCGGAGGTCTTACGTCATGATTAGCTTACTATGGTGTAAAATGGTAATGATCGAAATTGTAAGCTCAATTCCCGGTTTTTCGTAAGCCTATCATTAGAAACAGTAAACTAATGAATGTTAACCTATTAAAGTAATGCTATCAATTAGTATTTTACCGATTATACATCTACCTCTATTTCGAAACCTATTTACCTTCTATTTTTGATCCCGTTGTTTTATATCAATTCCATCTGTCCGATTTTAACTATTCAGAATCTACGCAGACGAATTCCTTCAATAATTCTTAGTTTTCCTGTTGTGCACTAACAAGCTTATTCATATTCATGTTTGCACCAGGTTTTTGCTTCAGATCCGAAGTTGGGTTGAAGAAGTGGTTGTTAACTGCTAAAAATGATACGGAAATACGGAGTTAGTCTTTTTTCCTTACATTGATGACAGAAAAAGAATACAGGTAGTAGTCAAAGGTTTTCCAAACTGGCTGGGTAATGAATACATTGAAACAATACAAATAACAATAAAATTCTTTTTTTTCGTTAAGCTTGAAATTCATGAAGAAAAAATTACAGCCGGTTTGGTGGAAGTAATTTGCATTTGGGTGCGAAATATATGCTATACTTAAAGATACTGATTGAGATTTTGATAGGTTATGTATCATTGCATAGTAAGACAATGTTACGCATGTACTCTAGATAGAATGACATGAGTCAAAATATTTTTCGATGGCACAGGCACATCCATTTATTTTCTTTTCCCATGAGCGCAGGACATTTTCTTATCATTTTTAAATCTATTTCACTGGATCATACTTTTTAAACAACTACGTCAAACCCTAATTTTCTCCGTTACCGCTAATACCTGTATTACCTACACTACTATGGGATTTGAATTAAAAATTTGATCTTTGTGCTAATGTGGTACCGCAACTTGAACTGATGTAGATGCGTACCAAGTTCAACGTTGTATCTAACGGACTCGAAATTGGATAATCTTCAGGTAACATCTACTTTCACCAGAGCTATTCCGTCAGCTACAACGTAGAACTTGGCACGTACGTACATCAATTCAGGGTGCCATACCACATGCAATTGTCAAGTCAAAGCCCATAGTGGTAGATGTAGTAGAAATATTAGCGGTAATAGAGATTAGTATTCAGATCATGCCCTAGTGCGAGCGCGTATTTGTTTGAGGCTTACTGAACGTAGGAAAGACCACAAGTAAATCTCTTAGGGTTCTGCTTAATGATAATAAAGCTAAGAATATATTTCAGGAGCAACTAGAAAAGCAGTTAGGCGACCATATAAGTAATCCCCATCCGGAGACAGCTTGTAATGATATCAAAAAGGCTGTGAAAACAGCAATGATATCTGCTATCAAGTTGAACCATAAGGTTAGGGAGAGGCCGTGAATTTCAGTACCATCTACCGAACTGATGGATAGTCAAAAACTCATCCCGCCCGGCTCTGAGCGCGAAGAGGAGCGGAGTCAGCTTAGACGCAGGCTGACAAAGTGCCTACCCAATGATTGCGAACAGTGGTGGGTAGCGAAAGCAAGAGAGATGGAAAAGGCCGCGGCGATGGACAACTATTCAGACTCATCAAGGAAACCGGTATTAGGAATCTGACTGTCAGTGAGACTATGTCGGAAAAGGATGGTCTTATTATTCATTCTCTATCCAGGAGATTGGATCGATGGGCAGAACAACTCAGGGATTAGTTCAACTGTCCTTCAGCCACTCTTCGGTTGTCCACGTTCTCCGGTCAACCTGAATGGCAGATCGACGTAAGTCTTCCGAGCCTTTTTGAAGTTGAGAAAGCGATAGGAAATCTTAAGCGAGGGCGAGCAGCAGGACCTGACAGATTAACCCCTGAAATTTTTAAGGATGGTGGTCCAGTTTTAGCAGTGATATTGACTGAGATCTTAGGTAGGATTCGGAAACTGGACGTAATCCCATCCGACTGGTCACAATCCCTCATTGTCCCAGTTTTTAAGAGGGGACAAAAGTCCTCTAGAGAAAATCACAGAGGAATCAGTTTAACTAATATAGTATCTAAGATATTGGCCTCCGTAATACTTCGACGCCTAACGAAATCTCGTGAAGAGCACACTGGGGAAAACCACGCTGGTTTTCGACATGGACGTGGATGTATAGACCAAATAGTCACCGAAGATCGAGTACTAGTAACCTACGACCATCCTTCAAACCTGTAGAATGGCACGGAGCGGACTGCCGTGCAGTAGAATCGTCCTTCGGTCTGCCGCCCATTCTTTAGCAGAAACTCAGATTCTTTAATATCCAGTTCGTTTATTTATCACCTACGATTATTATGTCGCTCAAAATGAAAAGCGATCGAGCACTTTTGACATACAGAAAAGTAGCTGTTCATGTGATTAGACATAAGGAATTTACTTCCATATTTTGACAAACTGGTGATCGGTAAACCATAATGAATTGATTTTTTGTTGTTTCGTGTGAAATAGATTATAGTTTCTTAAAGAAATTTCGATATTTTTCAATCTTCCGATGATGGTTGACCTATAAATCCAAGGTATTTGTGTAGACATGCTTGAATGATCAAATTATAATGCATTATATTTTTGTTTATTTATTCAGAATGCATTAAGTCTATTTCGTTTCTCCGACAGATAAATAAGTAGATTGGTAACTTTGCAAATGAAGAACTAACTTGCTTTACTAGCTAAAGGATCGTTGTATGCTTTACACAAGGTGCATCTCAAAATGGCAAACAGGCTATCGATATCGTTTAGATTTTGTGTCACTTACAATCACTAATCATGATTTTGAATCAATAAAGCCGAAATATATGATATCATATTAAAAAATAAGTTGGCCATTATTTGCGAAATAACTTGAAAACTCGAAAAATACTGATCTTTTCTCATTCCCTTCTTCAAATATTTCATTATATTACACTTATCATCATTTTCCCTTAACTACAGTACCGTATGTAACTAAATCTTCTCCAATGGCTTGCTGACTTAGAGTTGTTTCCACTAATTTGTCAAATCCTCTCCTTTTCCCAAGTATACTTTTAAATGTTGCAAACTACTTGTCCATCAATAAGTTAGAAAATCTCAATCCGATTTCTCATTTTCAGTTTGCCGCTTTTAAATTACCACATAGTATGCTAATATCAAAGCCACTGATAAACATAGATCATGTTAGTAAGAAAAAAATGATGAAAACTATGATTATTTTGTGTCAGAAATCTAGTTTGTAACTGCCTTGTTTTAGAAATGATTTCAAATTGCAATCAATTAGTTGGTTGTAAATTGTTTCAGGTCGCACATGTATCTATTGATTACATTGAGATTTTAGAACAGTTTTATTTTATTAACTTTACGATTAGTTTCTGTGACTGATTGGTGATTAATTTTATTACGATATTTTGTATACCTACAGAATTCAAGCAACAATGGCGGTCCGTGAGTGTGGAGGGTGTTCATGAAACAAAAATTGAAGAGTATTTAAAGCGTAATGGGATCTCTTCAATGTCTGGTGATCGAAAAAAATTCGTAAGTTAATATTGTTTTGTTTACTTCCTTACACAGGCATCTACTAGAAATAATAATTTCCTAATTTATATATAACTATGGTTCATCGACACATCGTTAATATTTATTCCCCCAAACCTCCATACTGTTATACCAATTATGATTATATCTAAACTTAATGTGTACTACTTCACTGTTGAAGTTTCTTTCATACCATATAAATTACAGCAATCCTTATCGTTATACCGTAACCCGCCCATAAAAACAATCCTGGATGTATTACTACCCGTAATACATGGTTGTTCTCTGTCGTATTTGTAATTCAATTAAGTAGGTTATTATTTTAAATTAATATCTAGGGCAGGTTATTAGTACCGATTCAACCGTATTTTCTCCATCCTGTTTTAACTTCTTATTTCCACAAAAAATTCGTTTATTTCCGTCAATGTGAATCTAATTAATCAAATATTTGATTGTCTCCTCTGTTACTGGGTCACTTCATGGAATTAGTTGTCAATTTCTTTTTAAACTGTGTTTTGATGAACCAAACATTAGTCGACAAGCCATGCAGACATAACTTTTTATTTATTTATCTCACTGATTTATGTTTTCGTTAATTTTCGATCTTAATCTTTCCTGTCAATACCTCTACTACCCTGACCTGACAATTTTTTATTCCTCGGTGTTAATGAGATACGGCAACTTGAACTGATGTATGTGTGTACTCAGTTTTACGTTGCAACTGATTGAAACACATTTTTTACCATCAAACTTTCCAGCCTCAGGCGCTTATCAATCGTAGTTTCCACATATTAATAATTAATCGTAGAAAAACATCCGAAATAAAAGTAACCAGTTCCAGTCACAACGAACATATATCCCTATTTTCTTTCTTGTAAATTTCACAATACTCATGTTTGAATTGGATTCTTTTTTGTTGTTTATTGTAAAGATACCTGTACAAAGAAAAAAACCGGGACAAAAGCGTACTATGAATCGTCCAGTTCATATTAAAGACAATGAACATGTGAACGGAATTCTAGAAGACTTTTCTGAGAAATTAGCCAAACCTTCTTGATCAGTTTTATTATTTACAAACAACAGGTGTACAGTAACTTTATATGTATAATAATGTTCACTTATTCTTAATGATCTATATACTTTGTTTATGTGTTTATATGCAAGTATAACGCAGTATGTTGTTTTTTAATATGTTTAGGGACAATTTTTTTATTGACAAAAACTTTTTTGTACAAACAAATCGTATGTCTGATTCTGTGAACGTCTTCCCCGAAATTTTCGTTTGAATAAATGTATAAAAAGATATATACCCCCTAATAGAATTCCCAAGTTTAACGTTTATATTGTTGTGCTTAGATTAGCAGCCATTCAAATTTTGTTTTTCCGTGTTACATTCAGTCACTAAAATTCTTTAGAGCTATAAACTAATTTGTTTTTTGAAAGATATTATTCAAAGCTTGTATTATCTAACCAATATATCAAATAGTCTATTCACCTATTGTTTGGGTTCTTTTTGGAAGATTTTCAAATGCGTGGCATGGGTTTCAGAACGGTGTTTTGGTTGGTCGGATTTTTTAGTTTTTAGAGAATATTACTGTTAATGAGTGGCTTTAAAAATATCACGCGATCAAATTTTTCATCTGCCATATCAACGGCCTATATTATATTATACAGCAGTCCGATTTGGCTTAATTTAGATATTTGAAACACATGATAGGACTACTGAGTGGAAAAGACAGGCTAGACGATGGTCATTAGACGGGGACTGCTATTTGAATGATGGGGTTCTAATGTGTATACGCAACCACAGTAAGAGGAATTAGGTTTTTCTACTATCATAGATATGTTCACGCTGCACGTCGACTTAAAGATAGTTTAATTGATGTATAAATGCCGATACTGAAATTGTAGAGATACTTTTTGGTAGGAATGAGTTAGATAAGATATACTGTCACTCTTTATTTGTTCATGATCACTACAAAGTCCACTGTAAGATGTAATAGAATTTCTCCACGTAAACGTCTTGGGGTAAAATACCTAATATATGTATATGCAAAAACGAAGTCAATATATATCTCACTTTCACAGTATAAGAATATCTTACGGTCAGCACCAGAATTTGGTGCTATCCATTATAGGACTGTATTGTGTAGATCCCAACGTCTTAAATTGGTCAGACAGATAGGTCTTTCTCATTACTCTTTATTTCGAATTTAGATAGAGAACTTGATAATCACTGCTCAATTTGATCAGCCATACAAATATAATTTTTACTAGTCTAGTCGATCACTTCTACATTCTACTCTAGATAATTGCGCGTTAAAGGATATGCAACTTGGGACGACGGAATTCAATCCAATTTATGCGAATTATTTACTTCAGACTAAAGCTATTGTTTAACACTAAAAGTTATTCTCACTGAGTGATAAAACAAGGTATGATAATCATTAAATTGGAGTGGCGCATTTAAGTGCTTTGTAATGCTGAATTTTTGGATTGATTTCATCAGTTACCAAGATCGAGTGATACGAGATGATAAGTGACGATAGTTCAACTAATAATTTGAAATAGCTGAACTTCGAATTCGTTAAAACTTAAACAAATATCATTTCATCAGCTAAAAGACCTACCATAATAAAGCTAATCCAAACATCTTATGGTTATTAAAGAGAGTTTGTGAACATACACTACCAAAGTTCTGCGTTTTACTGATAGACAAATGATTTAGACAGCGATGTCATTCAAGGTCTCTAAACATTGGTTACTTTTGTCCGGCAGAACCCAACCAGGCAGTCTACACTTACTAACATGGCTGTCCAGTAATTAGTGACTTTATGGATGTGCCATGTTTTGGTACGGCCACCCCTAGCTTTTACAGCTTACGCCATTAGACAGCATTGCTCGTCGAGGCAGTTTGTGGTTGGGCATACGTAATACATGTCCCAACCACATCAACTGAAGATTAACTACTTCATTAGTTGATCTGCCATCCCTACCTAGCACCCGTTTCCTAACCCCAGTATTACTTATTCGATGGCACCCGACCGTAGCTGCTACCTTGACGTGGTGGTCGCGCTTGCTAATCTTAACGACTCAACAGAGCTACATTGACTAAAATCTATCCTACCATACCAGGTAGGTCGATTAGAGAACGATGAGACTAAAAGCAGCTACTCAAGGTCTGAGGGCGAAGTCGTACTGCTGACCGTAGAGGGGTGTCACAGCAGTGAGGTGTTTCCTTCGGACAACCAGTATCTGCAACGATGCTGCCTTCTCACAAGGAAGGAAGGGTTAGAAAATGTCGACACTAAAAATGTCACACCTTACTCACGGATTTCCGTCTCCGGCGGTAGGGCCTTTAAAACAAGGGAGGAGCTATCACTTCAAGACTTCTCATAATAAAGCCGTTGTCCCGTGGGCTCTGCTGTCACGCTCCCAGGTCTCTAAGAACAACACTTATCTACTCTCTTTTTCAGGTTCCTCACGAAACACCCTTAGACGGTGTGGGCTGCCGCGAAGTGACATGCCCTCATACCCGTAACAACAAACGAGACTAAATTGGTCACAATCACATCCTTCATACTCCCCCTAACATCTCTTATCTCCACGACTCACCCTTCCCACTTTTCCTGTATCAACACATACCACTATTGCAAACGATTCGAGTTCACGAAACGTTATTCCTAGTCTCCTGAAACCCTGTTTTAAACTACGTTTTGCAGCTTTTAATGTCTGGACATTGTGGTGTCAAATGGGACAACAGGATTCCTTAGAATCTTGTGCAATCGATGTATGCTGCGTCTCCGAATCGTGCAAACAGGATCCGAGTAGTGTCACTAATTTGACCTCACCATATCGAAATAAAGAAGCAGCTCGGTTTTCGCCCCGCCCCCTGCTCATTTCCGGGGTGTCACCAGGGTATGTATAGCATTGAGGCCTAGGACAGAACTAGCTCTCCTAGACTGGATCCCAGTAGATAATCACTTGAGCGCTGTCCAACAAAACGGGACAGTAAGAACTCGGAAAGATATGGACACTAGCCGTTGCTTCTTCATCGTATCTGCCTACGCTTAGTCAGTCCGTTAAAACGTAGAGCTCCGTAAGTAAGAAAATCAGTTCAGGTTACCATACCGCATTAGCACAGCGACGCAATCGTCAATTCAAATCCCATAGTTCTCAAGAATTATAATTTAGTGAGATAAGTTTAGGAAGACAAATATACAGGTGTTGACGAATCGAGATTAGGATTTGAGAAAACACGAAGAGTGGATGCACTTGCCGTTGCAAACGATTTTGCGCCATATCATTCAAGGTCTCTAAACATTGTTGACTTTCGTATCGCGGACCCCAACTACGTAGCCCATGGGATAGGACCTACTTTGTAGCTGACCAATCAATCAATCAACAGCAACGTAGAACTTCGTACGTACGGAAACACATCAGTTCAAGTTGCCACATTAGCTCAAACATGTACTTGTCAATTCGGCATCCGACTGTGGGCTAGACTACCTCAGTAAACGATGGTCGTATCATTCATTCTCAACCTATGAGATAGGACCGATAGGCAGAAAAGTTCAGAGGTCAATTCAACTGGCCTTCAGCCACACTTTGGTTATCCACGATCTCCAGTCAACCTGAATGACAAGTCGATGTAAGTCCACCGACTCTTTATGAAATCGCAAAAGATATAGTTAATCTAAATCGAGAGAGAGCAGCAGCGCGTGACAGGCTTAGCCATGAGATTTTTACGGATGGCGGTCGAGTTTTAGCAGTGACATTGACTGAGATCTTAGGTAGAATTTTGGAACTGGACGTAATTCCATCCGATTGGTCTCAATACGTGATTGTCCCAATTTATAAGAAAGGACAAATATCTTGTGACAATCACAGGGGAATCAGTGTAATATAGTTTCTAAATTGTTGGCCTCGATTACCATTAGACGCCTAAAACTAGAGTTCGTGAAGGGCAGACTCGAGAGAACCAGGTTGGTTTCAAACCTGGACATGGCTGTGTAGAACAAATATTCACACTACGACAGGTGCTAGAACGTAGACACACATTTAGGCGTCCCACTATAGTTGTCTTCTTGGACCTTAAGGCGGAATTCGACTCTGTGTATCTTGAGGTTCTGTAGCAGTATCTGTCATTAAAAGGTGTAGCAGAGAAGTACATTAACCTTACACAAGCTCTCCACTCAAATACTACAAGTCGAGTCAAGGCTTATGGCGAACTGTCATCGGAATTGGTTACTTCAAGTGGTGTCGGTTAGGGTTGCCCACTTTCTCCATTCTTGTATCACTTTTTGGTAGACGTGCTTTTAGAGATAACACTTTGCCCGTCTAAGATTTCAGGAGTTTGACTTTTAACAGAAAATTCGCTGGTTGATTTAAAATATGCCGATGACATAATCCTGTTATGGTGATGACGCTGACTGCATCACAAAGCAATACGTTAGTTGGAATGCCCAAGGCAAAAAAAGAAAGGTTCAAACCGAATAACACATGGCGCTGGCAACCGGAAATGGATTATGAATAGTGCTTAACAACTAGAAGGTAGAACCTAGAATAGGTTTGACAAGAGGTCCTCCGTTGGTGGGCTGCAACAAGTGATAAAGAAAGTGTAATCCAACTAACCTTTGTAGTACGGTATATATGTAGAATTTTAAAAAGCAGTATGTACCTCGTTCCTAATCAAAACGCAACGAAACTATGCTTCACCAAACGGTGTTATTAGAACAGGAAGTTTTGTCAGTTTATGCTTCATAAAAATGTACTGAATTTCGGGCTTCAATACAATCAAATAGCCTAACATCTATACGAGTCAGGTAGAAAATTATCCGCTACAAAAAACATATTTGACCGCAAAATAAAGGTAATGAACTCGTTAGTAAAGTATGAGACTGTATTTCAGGCAGTAAAATCTTTAAAATTACTTACAGATAGACAAGCTTTCATGAAATTAGAAATAAATATTTATAATTCTCTGTATCATAAAAATTACTAGAAGCCTGACTAATAAATTAGGTAGTACAAACTGACCAGGATTTTCAAATTCGAGAACACGTAAAACTTTCACCATTTGGTTACAAATGATGAACCCCAAGTTTTTAAATCGCAACCTCGAATCTTGTAGTTTGGAGGAATTCCATGATAAACGTTACCAAACATGGTCTCCAGTGGTGGTTCTGAGTCGCTAATAGCCTTTTCTACGTCTTTATCGACTTCGGTTCGAACTCTTTTTTCGATCTCCTACGAACAAATTCAAAAAAAGAATACAGTAAGCATAATGCTGGGTAAAAAGTTACTCCTTTCATAAAGAGTGAGAAATAATTAAAAAGGAAATTCTTACTTGGTCACCTACGGAACAAAAGTCAGAGACAGTAGGAGTCGACACATACACAATTGTCGTCACATAGAAAGCTTTGATAAGATGGTAACTCAAATTTGTGATATCAAAAGTAGATGAGAACTTAATGCAGAAAGTATAGTTTGGAATATGCAATGTCATGGGATTAAGAAATATTGGATAACACTGCTGATATTTTTGGGGAAAAAGAATGACTACAGGCAAATAGTCGTCAATAATACTACACACCGGTGTTATTTCTTGGTTTTGCTCGTTGAATCTCTTTTGGCTTTACTTTTTGATAGCCATAGTAAAAATAAAATACCTTAATCACTTTAATTAATAAACATCTGCATCAGTAGCTTTACTGCTTTCACCCAATGCGCTACTCCAGAGCTCGACACTACCTAGAATTTGGTTCCACCATACACAAGCAATGTAAACTTTTACCGACCGCATTAAAAGTATGAACTGATAAAAAAAACTAGCGTTCTCAGACTAGAAGTTTGAAATATAAGTATATGTAAGTTTGTCAGATAATAAGGTATCCAGTGAAGAGTTCTACACTAAGCGTACGAAACTCAGTAACTTCAGAAACAATAGTCACTGGTTTCACAGCATTAATCACATCTTATCATGTATACGTCTACGAGCAATATTCTGGAAATGAAAATTCTTTGAGAAATCAAACCTAGAAGCATTTTTCAACAGGTTTTTGTACCTAGACTACTAACGGAACCTCTGGATGAGCAAATCTGACAAAATATTTTCAAACCGGTCTTCCTCAATGATTAAAGTAGAACAACTGACGCCAATAATGAGTTCAAGAATATTCACAAAAACTGAAAATGCGTATTACTTTTGTGTACAACAGCGTCGTAACATGGTGATGTGTTACGTAATCTCAGATGTTTAAGGATGGTGGTCCAGTTTTAACCGAGATCTTAGGTAGAATCTGAGAACTGGACGTAATCCCGTCCGACTGGTCTCAGTCGCTAATTGACCCAATCTATAAGAAACGACAAAAGTCTTCTTGTGACAATCACAGGGGAATAAGTCTAACTAATATAGTTTCGAAATTGTTAGCCTCCATTTTAATTAGACGACTGACTAGAGCTCGTGAAGAGCAGACTAGAGAAAACCAGGCTGGTTTTCGACCTGGACGTGGTTGTATAGACCACATCTTCACACTACGACGGGTCCTGGAACACAGACACACATTTAGACGTCCGACAATAGCCGTGTTCATGGACCTAAAAGCGGCATTCGACTCAGTGGATCGTGAGGTTCTGTGGCAGTGTCTGTCATTGAAATGTATGCCAAAGAAGTCTATTAACCTTATACAAGCACTCTACTCGAACACTACTGGTCGGGTGAGAGCATATGGCGAACTGTCAGTGGAATTCTCTACATCAAGTGGTGTCCAGCAGGGCTGTCCACTCTCCCCATTCTTGCTTAACTTTGTCGTAGAAATCCTCTTAGAGTTAACATTGGGCTCATCAGATGTTTCAGGGGTTGACCTTCTACCAGGAAAGTCGCTTACTGATCTAGAATATGCCGATGACATGGTCCTACTTGGTGAAGATGCTGACAAAATGCACAGTCTCCTAATTACCCTAAGCAACAATGCAAGCATGTTCGAGATGCGATTCTCCCCGGCGAAATGCAAAATGTTGCTTCAAGACTGGGTTGCATCGGCACCCGAACTAGTGATAGGGAGTGAAGTAGTCGAACGTGTAGACCGCTTCACTTATCTGAGGAGTCTCATCAGTGCCGATGGCCTGGTGACTGACGAAATCTCAGCACGGATACAGAAAGCTCGATTGGCTTTTGCCAACCTGCGTCACTTATGGCGTAGGCGAGATATCCGTTTGCTGACTAAAGGACGAGTGTACTGTGCAGTGATTCGCTCCGTCTTACTTTATGGCTAAGAAACATGGCCAGTGAGAGTAGGAGATATTCGTAGGTTACTGGTTTTCGATCATAGGTGTTTCTGCAGCATTGCTCGTATATCCTGGGACACCCGAGTAAGCAACGCTGTTGTTAGGAAAAGGGGGTTAGGTAAGGATGGCAGGTCAATAGATGAACTATTGTAACTTCATCAATTGAGGTGGTTGGGACATGTGTTGCGTATGGCTAACCACCGACTGCCTCGTCGAGCGATGTTTTGCGATGTAGGAATAGGTTGGAAGAAAGCAGGTGAGGCCAAACCAAAACACGGCAGAAATCCATGAAGTCACTAACAACTGGACTGAGACATGTTAGTAAGTGTCGACTACCTGGTTGCGGCCCGCGAGATGATAATAATCGATGGTTAGATACCTTGAATGATATGGCTCAAAACCGTTTATAACGGCGCAGGTTCACTCATTCTTTGTGATCCGTCAAGTCCCAAGTTTCTGAATTCCTCATCACCTCGATCTTTCTCTTGTTGATGTTATCTCACTAATCTATACTTCTTGAATAATATCTTCGTACTTTATTCTTCTCAAATAACGCTAATACTTTACTATCTCTACCACTATGGTATTTGAACTGACAATTGTGTCTCTGTGCTGATGTGTTATGGGAACTTGAACTGTACGTTCGAAGTTCCATGTTGTTGTCAACTGACTAACTTTGGTCTGGCTGCCCCTACCTTTTTTCAGCTTACTCCTACATCAGACATCGCTCTTCGAGGCAGTTGGTGGTTAGGCATACGTAAAACATGTGCCAGCCACATCAACTGAAGATTACCTACTTCATTAACTGATTTGCCATCCCTACCGAGCACCCGTTTTCTAACAAATGCATTGCTTATTCAGATGTCCCAGGATAAACGAGCAATGCTTCGAAGACAGCGAAGATCGAGTAATAGTAACCTGTAGAATGGGACGGAGCGGACTGCCGTACAGTAGACTCGTCCAATCGAGCCTTCTGTATCGACATTCAGATTTCGTCAGTCACCAGGCCATCAGCACTGATCAGACTTCCAAGAAAATTGAAGCGGTCGACACGCTCAACAACTTCACTCCCTATCAATAGTTCAGGTGTGGTGCGAGCTACTTATAAGTAGTATATGACGTGAGCGTCAACGTAATGTCTGGCAGCAGAAGATGGGGTAAGATCAAGAAAGAAAGAGTTAGAAAACAATGGAATTTGTATGAAACGCATAAATAGTGACAATGGATTGATGTTTTGCAACAGGAACAGTCCAGTTCGATATGATGAAATGATATTTTGCAAATTAACGATTTACGATATGGTTTTCCGATTTTACTGAGTAACTCTGTAATTTTCGCTTGAAAACAATTCGGTTGCCGTCACCTGTGTTCACCTTCACTACACAGGTACCGATGCAACCCAAAAATGAAGCAACGTTTTGAATTGCGAGGAGGAGAATCGCATCCCGAACATGCTTGCATGGTTGCTTAAAATGGTTAGAAGACTGCATTTTGTCAGTGTCTTCAGTGAATGAACTAAGTGATCTGCATATTTTAACTCAATAGGTAGATCTTCTGCTAGAATGTCAGCTCCTGAAAATTCAGACGATGAAAGTGCTAAGAGCATGTAAATTTGTTAACCTTTAGATTGTTTCCCATAAAAATGCTTTACCTTGACTTCGTCCTGTGTACATAACCCACTGTCTACAATACTTTTCTGAAATAAAGCTATAGGATCTCGTCCACGCCTCATCGACTGAACTTCCTCACGAGTACGATAACTAGTGCCTGGGTCACTCATGCTGTGACCGTGGTAACGGTAAGTCTCTGTTTCTAATATTATTGGTCCTTTGTCGGAACGACACCAATCAGCAGCAAAACGTGTGGCCTCTCTAACTGTAAGTACATCCATACCATCGACCTGTCAAATGAGAAAAAAAATCTTGTAAGTAAGTAAATCATTTGATGAACTAAATTGAGAACACGAAATTGATAGTTTAGCAAGCGTGTCCAGTGACATATCACCTTATTAATATTTAGAAATAATTCTGCAAATGTGTCTCAGATATTTAAGCTGTGGAAACGTTTTAGTGTGAACATCCAATTCATCCTCGAAACATTAGTACCGCAAGAAAATTGAACTGGACAGAGTCAAAACTTAAAATTAGTACTACTGAAGCATAAATGAACTACGTTGTCACCATAAAATGCATAAGGATTGGAATTACATAAGTGTCATCAAAGTATAACTACTAGTAATGAATGGAAAATAATCACGCAACCGTTCCTTGAAAACAAATGAAAACTAACCCATAATCCAGGAATGTAATCTCCACGAGTATAGTAATTGGGATTAGCAGAGGAACGCTGCACAGATGTTCCCATACCATATTTATTGTTTTCGCAAATGAAAATCACAGGAAGATTCCATAACTTCGCAATATTATAGGCTTCAAACACCTGTCCCTGGTTAGCCGCACCATCGCCATAAAGAGTTACTGAAACAAACTTTTCACCACGATGTTTCATACGTAATGCTATACCAACACCCACAGGGACCTGGAAATCAGAAAAACGGAATGCAATAATACGTTGTTTCTCAAAAATGACTACATAATAAGAGATAAATATAGAAGCTGTGATCTTACGATTATCAAATGTAAGGGAATTATAAGAAGATATGGTATCTGATGTAAAATTATTTTGTCGCTTAAAAATGTTTAATAGACCGGTTTATTAATCAGACAGTTAGATACAACGTAACTAATTCGCACATACGTAAACCAGTTCAAGCTGCCATACCGCATAAGCACAGAGAAGCAATTGTCACTTCAAATCCCATACTGGTAGACGTAGTAGAAGTATTAGCTGTAGTAGGGAAGATTAAGGTTCGAAGATATTATACAAGATCTGGAATCTGGTGAAATAAATTTAGAAGAAAAAGATAAAGTAATCAGGAATTCAGAAAGTTGACCCTTGATGGAACGAAGAATGAAAGAACCTGCGCCTTTGCATACGTTTTTGGGCCACGACATTCAGTGTCTCTAACCATCGATTACTATCATCTCGCAGACCCCAACCAGGAAGTCTACTTCCACAGTCAGTAAGTCAGTCAGTTACAACGTAATACTTTGTACGTAAGCAAATAATTTCAGAACGACAGACAACGTTAGCACAGAGATACAATTGTCAGTTCAAATACCATAGTGGTAGAGATAGTAAAGTATTAGCGTTATTTGAGAAGAATAAAGTACGAAGATATTATTCAAGAAGTATAGATTAGTGAGATAACATCAACAAGAGAAAGATCGAGGTGATGAGGAATTCAGAAACTTGGGACTTGACGGATCACAAAGAATGAGTGAACCTGCGCCGTTATAAACGGTTTTGAGTCATGTCATTCTTGGTCTCGCGTGCTATTACAAGTATGAGGGCAGTTGTCACTTCCCAGCTGCCCACACCGTGGAAGGTTGTTTCTTGAGGGACCTGAAAAGGAAGATAGATTAGTGTTTGGTCTTAGAGACCTGGGCGCGTGACCGCAGAGTCCAAGGGACAACTGCTTGAGGCCGGTCACGCACGGCCTTTTTATGAAAGGATTTTTGATGATTAGCTCCGCTCTTAAAAGCCCTTAGTGGGCACCCTTACCGAAGGAGACGGGAATCAGTGAGGTAGGGTGAGGTGTTACAGTTTTAGGGTCGACCTTTTCTAACCCTTCCTTCCTTGTGAGAATGCAGCATCACTGCAGATGCTGGTTGTCTGAGGCAAACAACACCTTACTGCTGTCACACCCCTCTGCAGTCAGCAGTACGACTTCGCCCTCAGACCTTGGGTAGCTGCTTTTAGTCTCATCGTTCTCCAATCGACCAGCCTGGCATGGTAGGACCTGCAGGAACATATGTTCCAGCCAGTATAACTCGGTTGGGTCATCACGATAGGCAAGCCCAACCACCACGTCAAGGTAGCAGCTAAGGTCGGGAGCACCTGTCGTAGTGTGAATATTTGTTCTACACAGCCATGTCCAGGTTTGAAACCAACCTGGTTCTCTCGAGTCTGCCCTTCACGAACTCTAGTTTTAGGCGTCTAATGGTAATCGAGGCCAACAATTTAGAAACTATATTACACTGATTCCCCTGTGATTGTCACAAGATATTTGTCCTTTCTTATAAATTGGGACAATCACGTATTGAGACCAATCGGATGGAATTACGTCCAGTTCCAAAATTCTACCTAAGATCTCAGTCAATGTCACTGCTAAAACTCGACCGCCATCCGTAAAAATCTCATGGCTAAGCCTGTCACGCGCTGCTGCTCTCTCTCGATTTAGATTAACTATATCTTTTGCGATTTCATAAAGAGTCGGTGGACTTACATCGACTTGTCATTCAGGTTGACTGGAGATCGTGGATAACCAAAGTGTGGCTGAAGGCCAGTTGAATTGACCTCTGAACTTTTCTGCCTATCGGTCCTATCTCATAGGTTGAGAATGAATGATACGACCATCGTTTACTGAGGTAGTCTAGCCCACAGTCGGATGCCGAATTGACAAGTACATGTTTGAGCTAATGTGGCAACTTGAACTGATGTGTTTCCGTACGTACGAAGTTCTACGTTGCTGTTGATTGATTGATTGGTCAGCTACAAAGTAGAACTTCGTACGTACGTACATATGTTTACTTTCATTATATCACCAGTTCAAAAGATTATGTTAATAATAATAATAATAATAATAATAATAATAATAATAAGTGATATAAGTTATTGATATGACGATCATATAAAGATGACAAAAAATAGTACACAAATATGGTGTGAAATATTTATTCCTAAAATAGGGGTTGGCATGTATGACAATAGTTTTCTTTGTTTACGTATGTGACGGACTATTCATTAAGCATCACCATGATTAAAGAATAGTCCGTCACATGCATAAAAAGGTATAAGACGACTCGCTAACCGAAATTATAAAGAGGAAACACTGTATTCAAAAAATATATACCTGAGCGCCAACGATGCCATTACCACCATAAAAATCTTTCGCGTAAAGATGCATACTGCCGCCCAAACCTTTTGTGCAACCAGTCTTCTTTCCTGCGAGTTCTGCAACTATACCATGAACAGAAACACCACGAGTCATTGTGAATCCGTGGCAACGATAAGCAGTGATAATGGTATCACCCGGTTGTAAAGCAGCCTCAATACCAACTGCAACTGCCTCCTAAAGAGCAGGTGACAGAACTAAAATTAATTATTTGTCGATTATCTGCGGGCAAAAAACAAATGCCATAATATTTTTAAGTAAAAGAGAGAAAAATAATGACTTTCAAATCACAAGTCTTCAAACTGACGTTCAAGTTTTTACGGTCAAACCCAAAATGTTCACTGTAAATGCACGTGATGGTCAGTCAGTCTGTTACAACGTAAAACTTCGTACGTAAGTACATCAGTTCAAGTTGCCATACCGCATAAGCACAGAGATGCAATTGTCACTTCAAATCTCATACTGGTAGGAGTAGAAGTATACGCAGTAATGGAGAAGATTAGGTTTCGAAGATATTATACAAGAACTGGAATCTAATTAAATAAACTTAAAAAGAAAAAAATAAAGGTGATAAGGAATTAGGAAGCTTAGGACTTGACGGCACTCAAAGAATGAAAGAACCTGCGCCATTGCAAACTGTTTTGAGCTACGTCATTCAGGGTCTCTAACTATCGGTTACTATCGTCTCGCGGACCCAGGTAGTCATTATTAACCAACATGACTCGGTCCACTTATCAGTGACTTGATGGATTTCTGCCATGTTTTGGTTTGGACACCCTTAGCTGATGAAGTTTCAATACTTCACCAACTGATTCGCCATCTCTACCTAGTAAAAGCGTCCAAACAACAGCATTGCTTATTCGTTTGTCCCAGCATATACAAGCAATGCTTCGATAAAACCGAAGATCGAAAACCACTAACCTACAGTCAGTCAGTCAGTCAGATGCAACGTAGAACCTCGTACGTAAGTACATAAGTTCATGTTGCCATACCACATCAGCACAGAGATGTAATTGTCGATTCAAATCCCATAGTAGAAGAGGTAGTAAAGGTATTGGAAGCAATCGAAGAGGTTAGGATTAGAAGATATTATTCAAGAAGTATGATTCAGTGAGAAAAGTTTAGAAAGTCAAAACTAGAGGTGTTGAAGAATCCAGAAGATTAGGGTTTGAGAGAACACAAAGAATAAATGCACCGTCGCCATTGCGAAAGATTTTGAGCCATGTCATTCAAGGTCTCTAACCATCGATTATTATCATCTCGCGGACCCCAACCAGGTAGTCGACAATTACCGACATGGCTCAGTCCACTAGTCAATGACTTCATGGATTTCTGCCATGTTTTGGTTTGGCCGCCCCTAGCTTTCTTCCGATCTACTCCTACACTACAAAACAAAGCTCGTCGAGGCAGTCGGTGGTTAGCCATACGCAACGCATGTCCCAACCACCTCAACTGATGAAGTTTCATTACTTCATCTATTGACCCACCATCCTTACCTAGCACCCGCTTCCTAACAACAGCGTTGCTTACTCGGGTGTCCCAGGATATACGAGCAATGCTGCAGAAACACCTATGATCGAAAACCAGTAACCTACGAATATCTCCTACTCTCACTGGCCATGTTTCTTAGCCATAAAGTAAGACGGAGCGAATCACTGCACAGTACACTCGTCCTTTAGTCAGCAAACGGATATCTCGCCTACGCCATAAGTGACGCAGGTTGGCAAAAGCCAATCGAGCTTTCTGTATCCGAGCTGCGATTTCGTCAGTCACCAGGCCATCAGCACTGATGAGACTCCCAACATAAGTGAAGCGGTCTACACGTTCGACTACTTCACTCTCTATCACTAGTTCAAGTGCCGATGCAACCCAGTCTTGAAGCAACATTTTGCATTTCGAGGGGGAAAACCGCGTCCCGAACATGCTTGCATTGTTGCTTAGGGTGGTCAGAAGACTCTGCATTTTGTCAGCGTCTTCACCAAGTAGGACCATGTCATCGGCATATTCTAAGTCAACAAGCGAGCCACCTGGTAAAAGGTCTACTCCTGAAAATTCAGACAAGGATAAGGTTATTTCTAGCAGCATGTCTATGACAAAATTGAACAAGAATAGAGAAAGTGGATATCCCTGACGGACACCACTTGATGTAGAGAATTCCACTGACAGTTCGCCATAAGCCTTCACTCGACCAGTGGTGTTCGAGTAAAGGGCTTGTATAAGGTTAATGTACTTCTTTGGTACACCTTTCAATGACAGACACTGCCACAGAACCTCACGATCCACTGAGTCAAATGCCGCTTTGAGGTCAAGGAAAACAACTATTGTAGGACGCCTAAATGTGTGTCTGTGTTCCAGGACCTGTCGTAGTGTGAAGACGTGGTCTATACAACCACGTCCAGGTCGAAAACCAGATTGGTTTTCTCGAGTTTGCTCTTCACGAGCTTTCGTTAGGCGTCGAAGTATTACGGAGGCCAATATTTTATATACTATATTAGTTAGACTGATTACCCTGTGATTATCACAGGAAGACTTTTGTCCTTTCTTATAGATTGGGACAATCAGTGATTGAGACCAGTCGGATAGGATTACGTCCAGTTCCCATATTCTACCTAAGATCTCAGTCAACCTAGCTGCTATAACTGGACCACCATCCTTAAATATCTCAGGGGTCAGTTTATCAGGACCTGCAGCTCGCCCTCGCTTCAGATTTCCTATAGCTTTTTCAACTTCATAAAGGTTCAGAGGACTTACGTCGAGTTGCCATTCAGGATGACTGGAGATTGTGGGTAACCGAAGAGTGGCTCGAGGCCAGTTGAACTGATTACTAAAGTGTTCTTCCCATCAATCCAGTCTCCTGGATTGAGAATAAATAATAGTCCCATCCTTTTCCGAGATAGTCTCACTTACACTAGGATTCCTAATACCAGGTTTCTTGATAAATCGGAAAAGTTGTCTACTGTTGCCTATAGCCGCTGCCTTTTCCATCGCTTTTGCTTTCACCACCCACCACTGTTCGCGATCGTTACGTAGGCTTTTTATAAGTCTGCGCCTAAGTTGACTTCGTTCTTCATCATGTTCAGAGCCAGGTGGGATGAGTTTTCGGGCATCCATCAGATCGGTGGATGCTACTAAGGTCCACGGCTTCATTCTAGCCTTATGGTTAACCTTACTAGCAGATATCACTGCTGTTTCCACAGCCTTCTTGATATCATTTCAACCTGTCTCCGGATGGGAATCGCTTAAACGGTTGCCTAACTCTCTTTCTAGTTGTTCCTGAAATATATTCTTCGCCTTATTATCATTAAGTAAAACCCTAAGAGGCTTTCTTACGGTGTCTTTCCTACGCCCAGTAAGCTTCAAACAAATAGGCGCTCGCACTAGGGCATGATCTGAATCTAAACATGTGCCCCAGAACGAGCGACAGTCTTCTATCGAACCCCTCCATCGGTGGCTGATGGCAATGTGATCTAGTTGAGTCCAACGTTGGGACAACTTTGGAGGTCGCCAGGTCAAAAGATGCTTTTCCTTATGCCTAAAGCTAGTGTTTGCTAAGAATAGGCGGTTGTCTGAGCATATTTGCAACAGACGGTCACCATTGTCTGTTCTCGGAGCTGCGACACCATAACATCCACTTAGGTATCTCTCCTGCTCACTTAGTCTACCTACTTGAGGTCTGAAGTCACCAGCCATTAATACTATATCAGGTAGGTAGGTATGTGTGGGTGTAGGAAGGATTTGATTTTGAGCAGTTCGATCTCGTGTGCTGATACGGGTATGAGGGCGGTTGTCACTTCCCAGCTGCCCACACCGTGGAAGGTTGTTTCTTGAGGGACCTGAAAAGGAAGATAGATTAGTGTTTGGTCTTAGAGACCTGGGCGCGTGACCGCAGAGTCCAAGGGACAACTGCTTGAGGCCGGTCACGCACGGCCTTTTTATGAAAGGATTTTTGAGGATTAGCTCCGCTCTTAAAAGCCCTTAGTGGGCACCCTTACCGACAGAGACGAAAATCAGTGAGGCAAGGTGAGGTGTGACATTTTTAGGGTCGACCTTTTCTAACCCTTCCTTCCTTGTGAGAATGCAGCATCACTGCAGATGATGGTTGTCTGAGGCAAACAACTCCTTACTGCTGTCACACCCCTCTGCAGTCAGCAGTACGACTTCGCCCTCAGACCTTGGGTAGCTGCTTTTAGTCTCATCGTTCTCCAATCGACCAGCCTGGCATGGTAGGACCTGCAGGAACATATGTTCCAGCCAGTATAACTCGGTTGGGTCATCATGATAGGCAAGCCCGACCACCACGTCAAGTTAGCAGCTACGGTCGGGACCATCAACCTACAGATATCCTCAATTCTTATCGGCTATGTCTCGCACCAAGTAAACTCGTCTCGCGTGCGCCATAAGTTACGCAAGTTGGCAAACGCCAATCGAGCATTATGTATCCATGCTGAGATTTTGTCAGTCACCAGGCCATCAGCACTGATCAGACTCCCAAGATAAGTGAAGCAGTCAACACGCTCAACTACTTCACATCCTATCAATAATAGTTCAGGTGCAGATGCAACCCAAAATTGAAGCAACATTCTGCATTTCGACAGGGAGAATCACATCCCGAACGTGCTTGCATTGTTGCTTAGGGTAGCTAGGAGACTGTGCATTTTTTCAGCGTCTTTTCATGACAGACAATGCCACAGAACCTTACGATGAATAGAGTAAAATGCCTCCCTAAGATCCAAGGAGACGACTATAGCTGGATGCCTAAATGTGTGTCTATGTTCTAGGACCTGACGTAGTGAGAACATCTGGTCTGACCATTCACGTCCAGGTGTGAAATCAGCCTGGTTCTCTTGAGTCTGCTCTTCACGAGCTCTATTAAAACTTCGAAGTATTATTCAGGGCAATATGTTAGATACTATTTTAGTTAAACTGATTCCTCTGAGCTAGGAAGATCTACTGCAGATATGTAGGCGCGAAATGGCAAAGCAAGAACAGCATTTCTACAATCGTACAACATCTGGGACTCAAAACAACTATCAGCATACACGTCAGAATTCTAAATACAAATGCCAAGACAGTTCTACTGTATGGAGCGAAAACTTGTAAAACTACCAAAACCATCATCCATAAGATACAAGTATTTATTAACAGTTGTCTAAGCAAAATACTTCGGATCCGTTGGCCAGACAGCATCAGCAACAACGTACTGTAGGAAAGAACAAACCAGATTTCAGCGGAGGAAGAAATCAGGAAGCGCTGGATTTGGTGGATAGGAATAGGACACGATGCAGAAAGCACCCAGATGTGTCACAAGACGAACCCTCACTTGGAACCCTCAGGGTCAAAGAAAAAGAGGAATATCAAGGAACACATTACGGCGAGAAATGGAGACAGACATGAGAATGAACAAAAATTGGGCAGAACAGGAAAGAGAGGTCCAGGATAGAGTAGGTTGAAGAATACTGTTCGGCAGCCTATGCTGTCTTGGGGTTAACAGTCGTAAGTAAGTCTGTGATTGTCACAGGAGGAAGTTCGTCATTTTTTATAAAATGTGAAAATAACGGATTGAGATAGGTGTCCACGTGATAAAGCGCATCCACTTAGGTTTCATAAATGTATATGTTAACTAAAAATCAAATAGGTAATAGGATATATAAGCACTTGTTAATATGCATTCAGTTCTCTGAAAAGTTAATAAGCTACTATACAAATTGGATCTTTTTCCCTAAAAAATAAAAGTAAGGGTGTCTTTCTCGACCGTAGCTGCTACCTTGACGTGGTGGTCGGGCTTGCCTATCGTGATGACCCAACCGAGTTATACTGGCTGGAACATATGTTCCTGCAGGTCCTACCATGCCAGGCTGGTCGATTGGAGAACGATGAGACTAAAAGCAGCTACCCAAGGTCTGAGGGCGAAGTCGTACTGCTGACTGCAGAGGGGTGTGACAGCAGTAAGGAGTTGTTTGCCTCAGACAACCAGCATCTGCAGTGATGCTGCATTCTCACAAGGAAGGAAGGGTTAGAAAAGGTCGACCCTAAAAATGTCACACCTCACCTTGCCTCACTGATTTTCGTCTCTGTCGGTAAGGGTGCCCACTAAGGGCTTTTAAGAGCGGAGCTAATCCTCAAAAATCCTTTCATAAAAAGGCCGTGCGTGACCGGCCTCAAGCAGTTGTCCCTTGGGCTCTGCATTCACGCTCCCAGGTCGTTAAGATCAACACAAATTCACCTTCCTTTTCAGGTCCCTCGAGAAACACCCTTCTACGGTATGGGCGACCGAGAAGTACCATCCGCCCTCATACCCATAAAAGCACACGAGACCAAATTGGTCACAATCAAATCCACTTTATACCTCTTAATAACTCTCCTCGACCAACCCATCTTTCGACGATAATGATGATGTCCGAAACTAGATACCTTGGAGTAAAATCATTCCACAAAGTTGATGTAATGTATAGATCTTTTTAAGCCTGTGGATAATGTATAATTACTCAAACTCTATTTGTTGACATACTCGTTTCATAGGTTAAAACGATGATACAGTGATCTGGAGATGCTTGTTATCTCTACTGATGCAACATACGTTTGTCTATGAGAAAGTACCTGTCCTACATTAAAACTAAAAATCTTAAAATTAAGCTGACGGTCGAGTTTCAAGAGTACGTAACCGAACGGAGGGCCTGGTGTTCAAGAACTAGTCATGAAGAATATTCAGCATGGCAAAATTTGTAAAGAACCAAAACGATTTGAATCAAGACTGAGCAGGCTAACCAGTTTCCCGAGTATATCAGTTCTTTTTTAATTAGAACAAGCATTAAATTTTGAGCTGATGATTTTACTATAAATTTTTTCTTATTTGCTCTCATGAACACAAGTTAAACGTGTGTTGTTTAATGTCAACATTTCACTTGACTGGATCAGTTCAATTTCTTAATTAAAGTCCTACGTTATCAAGTTGAAAACTACCCAACGGATTTAAATAGAAGAATTGGAGAAAAGAAGATGAGAAAAGTTTCAGAAGTGTTTGGCAACCAGATGTACACAATGTTTGAACGGAAAATCGCTTTATAGCCGCAAACGATAACAGTAAGAACGCATATGAACAAACTATTTCACATTTTTGGAAATATTCCATGAGTAAGATGAGGATTGTAACAATGACTCTACAAATTATCGATATGTGGGCTATAAAGGTTATATCCAATAACCATAGCCTAAAGAGATCAGTCGAAGATTCCCTTGAATGTAACCAGTGCCGACATAGGCAGTTCATAGAGCACATACAGGCTGTGAAGTAAGAACATATCAGGCAAGTTGGTGTTTTTACACTAAACCAGCCATGAAAGTATGCAAATGCATTTGAAGAATAATGATAGGAACATAGAAACGGGAACCCTGAAGTAAAATTTTAAAAAAAACTAACCTGGCCAGAGTACAGATGACAGAAACCACGGATGAGCTTTTCTTTATACATATTACCTAAAGCCGTTTCCATTCTGCGGATACGATGAAGACTATCGAGGTATTTAAGTGCATCTTCGCGACTACACTCGGTTTCATGCGGTGGTGTGGTGTCTAGCTTAAAAGTCTTGTATTCAGAAAGACTGAATTTTGCGGAAGAACACTCAGGACGACAGATGAATGAAATAGGATTCCATGCACACCTAAAAGAAAGATTCTTAAACAATAAAATTTGGTAAACAAACATTACTTACCAATAGCTTTAATTTAGAAAGCCCCGATGCCATATTACTAAAGATATCGAGCGTTTATGTCAGATGAAGCTTAGATGACCTCGCTAAACAGATCCTGGAAAGAAGGCAGCGAAAGGAAGGATTTTAGCGGGGAAAATGGGTTAACGTCCAAAGTTTGTTCGAATGACAAGAAACTAAACAACTAGATTTACAGTTTTGTGATTGAACAACGCGCTGGAAACGTAAATGGCCTTATATTCTCCATAAAACCAATACTATTCCTTCCTCGTTTGTAAACAAAAATAACTAAAGACGTTTGTTCACAATATTTCGAACTTAATTCTAGTTATAAATAAATGCAATTTTCATCTTTGTCCTCCAGTACTTTCTCTGTTCATAATGTGATTAGTTAATGCATTTCAGAGACGTTAGATTTTCAATTTCACTATTTAATAGTTCTTCATGCCATATATTTCACTGTGTTATGTCATACCTCAATCTAACTTGCGATATATTGAGTTGGTATAAATAATTCTCAAAAGTAAATTTTTTAGTTAAGCATTTATTAAGCTGCGTAAAGTCTTGAAGACATTGATCATTTAGTTATTTCCACTGTATGTGTATATGAAATCAAATCATTTCTCAGTATAAGAAAAATGTGGCCATATATACTACTCTGAGCCATAGCCTAGAATAACGATAAGTTCTGAGACTGGACGCTTGGTCTCGATTGTATAAATTATAGATCTTTTCCGTATTTAACTACACGACCATGCATTTAAAAAATGACAGTATACACTCACTACTTTGCGGTCCGCTACATGTTTCTATACTTAATCCTAAGCTTGTCTGGCAAACGTGATATAATCGAAGTTTCGATTTTTAAAAAATGTGGTGTTTGTTCGGTTCAGGTACGAAACTTATTTTGTATGCTAAATACGTTGATAGATACTACTTCACATGCATGTACTATACGTTGGGAAATACTTAATCGAACTCCGCATAGTTTATTCGCGAGCTAGTTAAAATGAGTTTTCGCACTCCGTTTTGGAGTCTATCATGACTTCTCTAATCTCCCACAGAAAATATAAGCAACCCTGTTTTCACTGCCAGAATACTTAGATTCAGGTGTTGTGTCAAGACGCGTATCTGACTACTAGACAGTTATTCCTTGGTCCGAACATCATTCTGAATCCTACAGTTCTAAACAGTACCAATAGATCGGAGTTGTCTGGCTAACGTTTCGCGGATTTCAATTATCGCTTCTGAAGATATTTGTGATGCCGAACGCTCGTCAAAGGAAGTCAAGCTCAAGTCTCGTTGGGAGTCAAGGACACAAACTGAACGACTAGTCCCCTGTTACAAAACAGGCGCCTTTTGATGTTTTTAGGTGTCATGGTTCACACTGAAATCGGGATATTTATCATCATAGTGATTCTAGTCATATGTCGTTGTTAGAGGGCTTGAAAAATCTTAGTTTAAATGAGAAGCTTGAAGTATCTGAAAACAATGTAACGCCTACAGTGCCTGTTTTAGGTCTAGAACTACCAGAGGTTGAGTTGAGTTATTTTGATTGACAACCAAGTTTGTAAGGCAGTTCGAGACTTACGTAGAATCAAGAGTCATTGAGGATAGCCAGCAGTTGCTTTCTTTGATACGTTACGGTAAGGGTAAAGCAAGATCAGCCATAGAGGTTTGTGTAATGATGGAAGCCTCTGCTGGTTGTAAGAGGTCTAGGGGAATTTTTAAACGGTTGTTCGGTCATTCGCATGTACTAGCCCGCGAAACATTAGAAGAGTTATTCAATCCTGTAAATGCTGATTATAATGACGCATAGCAGCTATCGAAGTTGGCCATAAGAATGGAAAATTGTGTCATGATTTTGGAACAGATGGATTGTATGCGGACTTGAACTCTTTAGTTACCTTAGGGAGAATAGGGAGGCGTTTACCTCGACCTATGCAAGTTAACTGGCCAGAAATGGCGGTTAGATGGACTGGAGACGATAGAGAGCCGACGTTTGCCGAGCTCACCAAATTTATAGCGTCTCGTGCAAGAGTAGCGAGTAGTAGATTCGGACGGTTGGCGAGTCGCACAAAAACGAGATGTGACGTGAAGATGGACTCTCACTTGCAATCCGGACAATGGAATTCTTCGTCCGTGAAAGCTCAAGGTAGTATCTGTTCTGATGACTACGTTATTTATGAATGCCCACGATTTTTAACGCTTACATTTCAGGAAGGATGGTCTAACTCCAGGAGAAAGGGCATATGCTTCGTCTGTCTGGGGCAACAGCGTAAGGCTGATGAATGTAAACTGACAAAGCACTGTGACATTGAAAAGTGTGAGAAAAGACATAACACTCTGTTGCATGGTGAATCAATAGCCAATAGCTTGGATGACAAACCTGGTACTCAGAATTGTTGTGAAGTTAATCGATCACTAAGCAGTCAAGTATGCCCAGGAATGATCCACGAAAGATTAAGATCTGGAAATTTCGAAATTTTGGGATATGCTCTTTTGGATAACGGCTCTGATGCAACACTGATAAGGCCAGATTGTTTGAAGTCGCCGGGCTGAAGGAAGTCCATGAGTCAGTGGTAGTTCAGACTGTAGGGAGTAACAGAACGACAAAGGTTACGAATACTCCTTTTGAGGTACATTTTTTAGATCGGTCTGAACTTGCTGTGATTGAAGGGGCTTTGATTGCGTCAAGTATACCTGGGCATTAGCCAACGAAGTCGGCAGTTAAAGACTTACTTATGTGGCTGCATTTTAGCGCTGTACTGATAGAGAGTTTAAACTCTGAAGAAGTTCTACTGTTGACTGGTTGAGACGTGTCCGAATCACATTAGGTGTTGGACTAAGGAAGGAAAAATCCATACGCTGTGAAAACGTTGCTAGGTACAGCGATTGGAAGACCAAATATATAAGCTTTATGAAATGGAGTTTGACGACGTACATTCTAGTGACAAATCAGTATCCGTAGAAGACAAGGCGGCCATAGAGATAGAGGAAAGGGGCACGCACTTCGACAATGGTCATTTTATGGCTCCGAAACCATGTAAAGAGCAGGTGGTAAAGGTGGTGATAAAAGAGTTTGAAGCGCAGGTTACTGAGAGATGACGATCTATACGCGAGGTATACCAAAAGTATGGAAGGTAATCTTACTAAGGGATATGCAGAGAAGGTATCTGAAATACATTTGGGGCCAGATTATAGTCCTCGATGGTATTGACCCCACCATGCACAGTGAAGACAGAAAAAACCAGAAGAGCTGAGAGTGGCCCTTGATTGTGCCATCACGTTTGCTAGGGTTTCCCTAAAAGATATGATATACCCTCAACCTAGATGTACTAAACTGAGCTGAGGACTTGCTATTAACACTAATATCGTCACCTTTATCACGTTTATGTTTTGTACTTGATGTAACGCCAAACCACTGTACTAATGACACCCGAACGTTAGACCCCTCCGTTCAAAAATAAGAAGACGGAAGACGTTGGAGAACGCTTATTGTCAGAATCAAAAATGTACAATCAAACATGCGTATTTATACAATTATATAAATGTCGTTAAATATTTTGAACATGAATCAAATAGTTCATCATGAACATTGATCATATAGTTCATCATTAATGAAATAGTTATTATGAACATTAATCAAATAGTTCATCAATCCACAATATGCGTGGCTTTCTTCTCGATTGACTATCCCAACACCTCCCCGGAATAAGATTTTTTTCTTGGGTCCACTTGTAGTCTTACGACTGGTTTGCGGCGGCGTTCCATTCTGGTTATAGGTTTTCGAGTTAATGTCTCCAACCTTCCCTTTTCTTCGGCATTCCGGGACAAATGTGTAGTTGTCGGTTCTGTGATCAACTCTAGGGGTAGATTCACGCGATTATCACCCGAGCGTGCCATTCTTTGGTCCCTTCGCAGTTGGTTCGTGTGTCTAACACAGCTTCCGAAAGCTCCTATGATTCGATACAAAACTCTTCCTAGTCTTTGGACGACTGTTCCTGGTTCCCATTGATTTTTACCCCGATATGTTTTTAGGAACACTTTATCGCCAACGTTGAAGCTGCGAATATTTTGATTTGGCCTGTATCTATTCGCTCTTTTAGGGGGCAACATCGCGTTAAAAATAGTCCGAATACGTCTTCCAAACATTGCTTCAGCTGGATACTTCCCCTCTGGGACCGTATGGTTCGGAGTGCTTCTGTAAGCAGTTAAAAATCTCGTGATTACTTGGCTAGTTGGCCCCTCGTCTCCCCCTTTCATTAAAGCTCTTTTGAAGGTGTCCACGAAGCGTTCAGCTTGTCCATTGGATTGGGGGTGGTAAGGTGGGGACCGTAGATGCGTCATGCCGTTTGACTTCTTGACCACCACAATCGGTGCAGCCCATTTGGAGAAACTTACAGGTTCAATAACACCCACTTTTTGAAGTCGTTCCAGTTCCTGTTCAACTACCGGGAGAGAAGCATAAGGTACAGGTCTTTTTGGTCGAAAAAAAGGGATAGCTGTTGACTTGAGAGTCAGTAGTGCTTTGGCTTTGGTACATTCGCCCAACGCTTCCAAAAAAACTTCATGATGCCTTTTTATAATGGCATTTCTCAGATTTGACTCTAAACGGTTATTGATTCCAACTCGGCTGCAGATGTTGTTGATAGAATGGTATGTTAGTTTTAATGCATCTATGAGATCCAACCCCAATAAATCAAGGTTTGGGTTCTTAGTTAAGCATACAGTTGCACTCGTTGTTGCCTCTTCTTTTGAAAAAGTGCACAATATTTCCCCAACAATATTTAATTTGCCACCAGATGCGCTGTGTGCTAGTTGCTTCGTTGGGTGAACTGTAGGTCTTCCAATTTTCTCCCAAGTTTTTGGACTGATAAAAGTTATATCGGATACTGTGTCAAGCTGAAGACGGATGCGTTGTGAATTCATATCCAAAGTCACATACTTTCTTCTTTGGTGAATTCTTGTCTGATTATGAGACACCAATACTTTGTTTATTGGCTTACCAGAACTGTATTTCTTGGAATCGACTTTCGCGGAGTAATGTCTGCGAGTTTTTGTCCTACTTCGGGTTTCTTTGTGACCCTTTTTGTGACATTTAGTGCAAACATAATCTTTGTATGGACAAAACTTCTTGTAGTGCCAACCTCCACATGACCAGCATGGAGATGAGGGCTGGTTGTCTGTGCTCTTGTGATGCTTTTGTGAGCCGGAATTTTTCTTTTCACGGCATGCACGGCATGCACGTATGACGGACGGCCATTGTTTTCGATCATGGAGGTATCATGCTTCAAATTTACCAATCTCTGGCACTCTGCAGTTATTTCTTGAAGCGAGATGTTTGGGCACTGCTCAATTTTACTTAGGATTCTGGTTCTTATATTAGCATCTTCGGGAAATTGAAAGCTGTACACAAACACAAGGCACTTAAACTGGTCTTCCGTCATTGATGATA